CTTTTGACATATCTCTTAACTCTACAAGTTATTCCGAAACAGCACAGGAAAAGGAAACTTTTGAAAATTGTTGGGATATGTTTCAAAAAACTATTTCAGTGTCGAGAAGCGCTGTTGCCGGTTTGCCCGTTTACTTGTTAATATTTCTTTTAGTAGATTCGATTAACTGAGACTTCTCCCAAGAGTATTCAAAACTCTATTTCTGAACCATGCCACATGGACATACAAAAATTGATATAGTGTATTACTTTGGGAAGAGAGTGATAAACTCAAAATAAAAAATTTCATAAATATACGTTCCCATATTCCTTGGGATTAAACTTGGATGACACAATGATAAAAAGTTTGCACTTTGAGCTTCATCAGCTGATTTTTAACGAGAAAAAATATATTTTAGTAATATTAAAACATATTTTTCGTAAAAAATGTTCGCAAATTTATTGTTTTATAAAAAAAAATTATTGCCTACCAGAAACTTTCAATCAGTAACACGTACTGTATAATTTTAATCAAAATAATTCTCTTCGACCACTATTATTTTTAATAGATGCTTAATATCAATATAATGCATCGTAATAACTAATAAGTCTACTAATGTCCTGTGAATTTGTTGATATGCTAGAGTTTTTTACCTTCAAAATAAGGCATGTATAGGGTTGTTTTGTGTTGATAATTTTTTTGTGTATTTGCTCTTTAGAAAAGGGATTAAGTGCTTTTGAAAGATTTTAATAATATATTATGCAACAAGTTTAACAAACGACACTTTAGTTATTAGTTCAGTGTTTCAAATCTACCAAAAATCTTCGAACGCTCCCAATAAAGCTGCGGCTATTTTAGATTTAAAATTTCTAATATATTTCTAAATATTTATAAAAGCTTTTTGTAGCTCGTACCAGTTCACAAATCACACAGTGAGCATGAATTTGGCAAATATTTCTTTTTATACCAATTATCATTAAGCGGAAGGCTAACTCCAAATTTGGAAAAATATGTTGTATTGTAATATATTATAATTACACTGCCTTTAACGCTGATATTAATTTTATACATACTTATTGATCACAAAATATTTGTATAAAGTGTAAATTTATTAGTAAAAACAGGAGATGGACTTTTACCCAATCACGCATTGCTATGCGTCTCAAACGTGCATGCCCCGAAGAATTTTAATAAAGCGGGACACGCCCGCTTTCATTTGTCTTAACCTGACCTTGACATCAATTTCCAGCACACACGCACGCAATCTTCATCCGCCCAATGAAGTTGGCTCTAATTACGGCCTGTTTTGCCCAGTACCGGTTAACATTTAAACAAAGATGTTGATATTTCGACGCCAGTACCACTTCGGTTAACAAAGGGCGTGGGCATTTCGAAAAGTAAAATCGGCAACAAAGCTGTAGACAAAAAAATAATAATAAATCGAAAAACTACTAAAAAAGACGAGCGAATGTTCTTCGAAACTTCTAGTCGATAGAATTCCTTTTGTAATTCTAAGCATTAAATTTTTTTTCGATGTAATTTTTGCTAACCCCATTACAAATTTATATTTCAACACTTAGCAGAACTATAATTGTATCTACTACTAAAATTTTTATATTATTTATTTTCTTCATTAATTGTAACTATAATTGTGTAATGCTTTTTTCTTCTTCTTTTTTCCTGCACTCTAACATCCCTGTAAGTCTGATCACGCGTACGTTTAGGTCATTCTTCGGCAAGTATGGAAATCGGGCCTTTTTGCTATATTCTTTAGAGCGAGGCCATTTATCTCCAATAACTCTTTTCCTACGGGCTCGCAGATATAAAAGAGTTCAGTTCAGAGTTAATTGGCCAACATGAAAAATGTCCTGTTTCTCCCTCGTTCCAAAATAACCTACACTCAGAAATCTTGCCTGTCTGGCAGAATGGGCCTACCGATGCTGATAACGTTGGAGCCTTAAATCTCTATTTCCGTTTTTTAAATGAAGATAAATTTGCCGTTCCCTATCTTTCGCTCTAAATTGAGTAAAGGAAAGAAACCCATAGACAATCCGGGTCCTTCTCCTTTTGACGTTTCATATAAATTAATTAAATGTTCGGTAGAACAGTATGTTTGCAAATGCCAAGTACAGTTCTGTACATTTTAAAAACTGAAAGGGAGTATTTTTTTTTATATTCTGAACCTCCGAACAATATTATGTTGGAATTTTATGCTGTGCAAAGATATTTTCTTTATAAGTCGCGTGTGTTTATACAACTGTTCTTTGCAGAGTGTGTTTTTTAAATAAAACCGTTTTAGTTTCTCTCCGGGTGTGTGTGTGTGTGTGTGTGTGTCTGTGTGTGTACAATTTGCGTGCTTGGAATTGAGCCTCTCACATTTTACAAACCTCTGGCCTCTCACGATCTGTTTTTTACTGTATACTACTGATACTTTTGTATTCCTAATTATTTGCCAGGCATATTTTACGTCACCCATTCCATTAAACAATGAAATACATGTAGTCTGGAATATTATGTTCATTTCACTTCGATTAGGGCAGCCAATTCAGTACACGAAGCTAAAAATAAAGTTCTAAAATAAAAAGCATTTTTCAATGTTGCATGTAGGCGTTTAACGATACTCAAAATTTCCGCCGCTGTGACTATTCTATCCTAAACGACTTACTAAACAAAACCATCTAGAGGAATATATTGCAAGCTATTTGCCTTCACAATTACGAGGAACTGAAAAATGGAAGACAAGCAATTTGGCTTTCGTAATAGAGTTGCCCTAAATATATGTTGTCTTATCTTGATCGGCGTTTTCGAGTATAAAATTTATGTTTCTAGAAAGTCTCTAATATTTTTGCTAAATTAAATGATGCGAACAAAACAAAAACATTAATGCGGTAATATATCTTATTTAGTTGATTATAAGTGCCGTAAAAGTGTCTTAAATAGATATTTTAATTTTAACTATGATATAAATGAAATAACAGGATACAAAAGTCAAAGCGAAGAACGTGCATACATTTTAACATTATATTAGAAATTTTAGACAATACAAAATTTTCATCTAAAGTAAAATTTGAGTGACCCCGGATTTTTTTACTTAACTTTTAATTTTTGTAGGTCTAGATCCAATGTACCACAACCGCATCGAATATATATTTATTTTTTAAACAGAATGTTGAAAAAAATATTGAAAATTAAAAACATGAAGTAAAAATTAAAATTTTAAATACTTTTTTTGATAGACTGTTATTTAAATAAATATAAATAACAAATTTTTCAATATACTTTTAAAATGCAACTGTCTACTTCTAGTATAAGCAAACGCGGTTACAAACTTGTAGCTAAGTCACATACATATGTGAAAAAAAAGAACATTAGATTGAAAAAACTGTTTTATACTCTTTCTATTTGATAAAACTGCGGTTAATATTTTTAAGCTTTTTATTTGACATGCGGGATCAATTAAAATAAAATAAAAATGTTTTAACAATAGGAATTTCCTTTTTTATTTCTTAAAATTTATGTCACCATTTTAATTAAATCTAACATATGCATTTTCGACCGGAAGATTTTTGATTAAATTATTTGATATAGTCGATTTTCAACGAAAGTTTTTATTAATTTTATTACAAACTTTAAATTCGGAAAAAAATTCCAAATACGTTATTTATTATTATCTAAAATTTTACATTGATAATTCTATATATCCACAATAACGGCGTACATAGGAATACAAATGACCACCAATTTTCTCGCTTCTTTGATTTGTTTATTCTCAGATACAATACTTCCCTTGTATTATTCTGAAACGAAGAACTTGAAATAACAAGTGCCAATTAAAACGACTTTTGTCATCAAAAGTTGTCAAACCATTAAACAGCAAACATTTTATTCACCGAATTCAAAAGCAAAATGTACTATGTAGTTATTTTACCCGGAAAATATGTTGCTGTTATTGTATGAACTACTCTGCAAAAAGTTGCACGTTTTGCTTCAATCTTGTGCGTCCGAAATAAATACGCCATGAACGTGATTCCAAAAAGGAAATTTGTGTTGTTGTCAAACAAAATGTTATTCAATAAACTCCAATAGTTTGTGAGGCATAATTTTATTTGTTGAGAATTGTATGGTGCAGGCGTAATTTGGTTGAATTTAACAATTTGAAAAATGCATATTACGCGACTTTCATGTTGTTCATAGAGCTACAGTAAAAAAACACGACTTAATTACATAACATACTGCGCTGCGTCGTGATTTTTATAAATATTGCTAATTGCTAATGCATTGCAACCGCTTAATTTTTCTATAATAAGGCAAAAAAATCTAAGCACATATTCGACATACCTGACCCGATATAGCGATATACTGTGATCGTCGACATTACCTTCACATAAACTTCATATGCTTGGCTTTATACATTCGTGTATGTAATTTTTTAATGAAGAAATTTAAATTAAATAAATACTCTGTAATTTTAGGAAAGAGGTAAATAAAATTTAATATTAGATTTTTTATTCCGCAAATATGATTTGTATTTACTAATCGGATTTGTCGGCGCATTATTTTTTAGCAAAAAGTTGCAGGTTTTGCGTCATTTATATATCCGAAATGTATATGCCATGTTTGTGATTTCTGCATTGTTGTCAAACAACATGTTATTCAAATAGCAAACTTGGAAATCCAATTTGTCAGCTTTTGAAGCGTAAACTACAAATGTTGATTGGTTGCAAATTATGTATGGTATTGAATTATAGAAATACGATTCCCTGACTAAATAATTTTGTAGCCGAGATACAGTAAATAAAAAAGATTTTATACGTTTCACGCTAAGATGAAAGCGAGACACTTGAATTTGGAATAGTGGTTAAGATGTGTCCCATAAGGAATCTCCAGTTAAAGATCGCGACTTTGATAAAACACGCTAATATTTAAAAAAAATCCCCTGTCAAAGGAATCACATTATGAGTTCAGGAGAATTCGATAAAAAAAAATATTCTCTTACGTGAAATTTTCTTTATGTATTTCAGACCGGCAGCAATATCATCACGACGCTCGGCGGGCTAGAGAGAGCAAGCCGGGAAAATATATCCTACATTCAGGTAAGAAAAGCAAACATTTTCAAGATTTATTACCTGCTGCATTGTTCATCTTGCCGATATGCCGGGACCATTATTTAATACGTAGTGATCGATTTAGACAGTTTAGTTATAGTTATAAAGTTGTTTTTTTTTAAATTTACTGATTTTTATCGTAGTAACTACAGCAGTGTAAGTTTTTACATGCCTACGCCAAAGGTCCCAATAAATAATTAGAAACGAATATGGCATAACATTAAAGAAAAGTTTAAATTAAGCTGTATCATAATCCATTAAAGAAATAGTCAAGGTCATTTCTCAATTTATATTATTTTGGCTGGTTTTGAAAAATATATGTGTCCGCATGATATCACTAAGATGGCGAAAAAATTTTTCAAATTTTTATTTATCAGTTGTTAATACTTTTTAAAAGTATAAACAGCAAATTTTTATTTTCTTTTATAAAATTGTGAGAATTATAATTACTCACAATCGAAACCCGCATAAAATTAATATTAGTAACAGTGAACTCGATCTAAACTGGGATGGGCCCGGCTAGTGATAGGAATAATAAAGTTTGCTTTTTTCATGATGATTTGTATAAACGAGAGAGTGAAGGTGTTCTCTTTGTTTAATTATTGTATTTACCGACATAATTCCTACTCAAATCATTTATATTTGATGATCGAAAAATGTTTAGTTTAAGTATTTGTAGTAATAAAAATTATAATAATCTTCTCAAAAAACCTCCGAGAAGGCTCATACAAATTTTTATGCTTATAGAAATTCAAAATAATTAACACTTTTCTGTTTTAAATAATATTTTTTATTTATAGAAAAAGTAAAAAAAAAATCTGTTTAAATTTCTGTGAGAACTAAATAAATCATCATCAATCATGTAATATGATGCAATAGTTGCAAATTCTTTAGTTATCCAAAACATTTCCAAATATACATATTACTAAAATTATATGCAACGCAATAATTTACGTTTGAAAATCTGTTTACTAATTAGCACCAGCATAAAATTCATTTTCGCTGCAATATCGGGACCTTTCCAGTTTAGATGGAGCAATTTATATAATAAGCTATGGGGCATATGAGTTCGCGGACAATCTGTAGATGTATATTCAAATGTCCACCGTGTGCCAAATAAAACGATCCACTATACGATCTGGAAACCCATGTATGTTTTATTTGGCGCACGGTGTATACCAACTGTCCTAGTAGGACGGCTTAGATGCCGCTGTGTGCCATTATGATTGATAAAAACTGATAAAGAAAGGACGATCAGACTTCGAAGGAAATATAAGTAAAATTATAAACTTATAAGACGACCTTTGACCTCTATTCAGATGTACAGGAAATTTAATAAATAATTACTTCTGACAACAGCCACACTAAGTTAAAGGGAGATTTCTTGATAAATAGCGAATGAAAACAGTCAAATAACCGCTATTTTTTTTAAATCTAACATTTTGTAATATTTTCATAACTTTCAATTAAATTAGTTTATTTAAATATGTACGAACCGGCGCTAGAACAGGCTTTAACGATTTTCGTAATTCCGAAATCAATGCTTAGTTTCTCCAACTTCTACAGAGAGCGCCACGTTTCGACTAAGCGAGATTTTATTCGAGAGATCGCTCTCTCGTTACATTCGCTTTTCAGCCCGAGCTTTCGACGAAAGATGGCGCACCATTATGAAAGCATTTATGTTCAAATAACCATGTAGACAGCTAAAACTATCAACAAACAATATTTTGTGGAGCTTTATTTACAAACTGATCTGGTTCTATCTTAATATTTTTCCTGCAATTAGTTTTTCTCCTCCCTGTTTCAAAATATCCAATTATATAGTGTTACTTTAAGAGATATTTTAGTCACGGCGTTGTGAGCGATTAGGTGTTTTCGGTAGATTCTAGTCAAGTCTAGTCTAGTATTATGACATTTGTCAGTTCAGTCACTCAGTTAATTTATTCTTGTCGTTTTGCAAAAAATGTAACCAAAACTCGTTTGGTAACACTATTAATATGCTATTAAATATTATTTGCTTTCATCGAATTGCTCGGGTAGCTACCCCGTTTCTGATTGCAGTCCGTGTTAAATTTTACTGTGTTCACTTCTTTTGGTAATTAAACGTTAACATTTTTTTTTAATCTGTTTTCAACTTTGTTTGGAAAACCATGGAACAAACGGATCGTATTAAAAAAAAAACTAACATGACATTGTCGTTATCGAAAAAATTTGGAAGTATCAATTTCGAACTGACAGATTAATCTAAACATGCCTGGCGCTCAAATGCTTAAAATCGGACAATGTGTGATATGAAATGTGTTTTCAAAAAATGGGACAATCCTTGGGGATTTAATTAGAACTGGAAGCGATTTATTTGACAGCAAAAACAGAGTTCGAAATATCGAACAAAGGATTCGAAAATAATGCACTTCTTAAAATGTCAATAAATAAATAACCATCGTTAAGTTTTTGGCTCAAATTAAAAATAATATAGAAAATATGGCCATGTCTACTCCAAACCTATTTTAATGAAATTAACCGATTCTGCCTATTCTTTTATTCATAATTAATTCCATTAATATAAAATGCTGGGAGAGATAGTTTTTTGCCACTGTTTGAATACTACCACTTAATTTGTATATATAGCATTTTTCCAAGTATGGTCCTGATTCCATTTAAATGAAGGGAGGTATTCCACAATATCTTAAAATCGTCCTGATACACAATGCATTTACTGCCTTGTCCGAAATGCAGGAATGGCATTCGTTCATTATGTTGGATCCTCATAAACGAGGGATGTTTTCTAAGTTTTTGGAAATTACCCGTAATTTTAATTATTTTGTAAATTTTATATATTTATCCTAACGATAAACATTTTTTTTACTTATTTATGTCACGTTCTACGTCACTGGGTGCAAAATGCGGGGAATAAGCAATCCACAGAACTTTGGAGACATCCCTTGTACGTTAAGATATGGTCGGGTTCCTTTGAATCTAATGCCCAACAAAACAAATCAAATTAACTAACATTATTCAAAAATAAAGTTTATGTCAAATCGGCATACAATTTTTACTTATGGGTCTAGTTTCCCACCACCCTGCACAACTTTAAATGAGAACTTCTATTTCCACATAACTATAAAGGGTTTAGGGCTTTATATCAAATAATTTCTGTCCTTTGGAAAAACGTATTAACTCTGTCTAAACTGTGAGTCACGGAATAAGTCGTACATGAATAGTCAAACACTTAAAATCGTATATAATTTTGAATCGGTCGTATAATCTGCTATAGTCAGTGTTATAATCTTCTGGAGCAGAAGCGTTGAGGTATATACAGCCCAGAAAAAAATAAAAACAGTACCAAGAGTTTAATAATCATTTTTATAACACTAATCTTTTATATCTACAGGATCGATTAAATGTAACTGAAAAAATCCCTTATGCGAGGTGTGTTCAAAAAGTAAGGTGACTTTTTATTTATCAAAAAGTATTTATGTATTTATCAAAATTAATGTTGTCTCCTTGAAAGTAACGTTTTTGCAATCCTCGAAGCACTTTTGGTAAGCACTTTCTGGTATAGCCTTTACTTTTACACATGACTATTTGAACACACTTTGTATGCGTATTAAGTTATGTAAAAAAATCCTAAAACTTCAAATGTATTAGTGATGTAAGTGTTTGGAAATGAACTACTTAATGAAATAGTATAATGGGCAGTGACTGAGTTTTTGGAGCGACACTTATAATTTTTTTAAATTTTCTGGATTCCTCCTGCGTAGGTTGTTTATAAATTCAAACTTATTGAAGTTTCGTCAATCATCCGACTTCTTTAGTTATTTGAGACTCGCTCGCATTCTGCCGAGGCATGTGTGAAGTTGCTTTGTCTTTGGAAGTTTGTGTGTGAAGTGCATTTTGTGATCGAACGCTTAATACCTCTGAGGTGGAAATTATTAAAAAGAAGAGCAGATCTATGGTGTTTTAATTCTGGGTTCAGTGACTCGGGTTGAGATAGTTTTACGGCTCTAGAAACAAAAAACCGATAACCTATGATTTTTAAGCCGGATGGTGATGTGACAATGCAATAAAATATGGGTGTGTGTATTTAGGTTTTCTGGAAACAGAATAACCCAATTCTATATATCTATCTACAGAATCTATTAGTTTCTAATTCAATGGTAAAACCTATGTTAGGCTATACAGAGTTTCAATGGCTAAGTAAATCTTGGAGAAATGAGGACCATGAGGCCAAATAACAAAAGTATATTTACGATGACTGGTGATAATGGACAACGCATAGCTGTTGCCGACCTTTGTTAATAAATTGGACTGTTACAAGAAAAATACATTCCATATACCATATTAGATGATACTTTTGTTATTTGACTTCATGGTCAAGGATCCCTCCCAAATTTTCTTACCCATTTGAACCCTATAGAAAATCAGATCTAACATTGGGTCATTCTGTTTGTAGAAAACTTACGCACAACTAACCTCTTACTCTCTTAACTAACCAACCAACCAGTGTCATTGAGCTCATAATTAAAACACCTAACATCTGATCTTTTCTCTAATAATTTCCAGATTAAAGATATTAAGCGTTTCATCAGAAAGTATACTTCACCACAACCTTCCAAAGACAATGAGTCCAAAAGCAACCCCACACTTACCACTGTTGTCCTTCCTTAGATTCAAAACATCACTGACCCCATATCAAAAGTTCTTAAGAAATTTTACGTTGAAAAAGTACACAATCAATTAATCTTATTCGATAAAACTGGAATGCAGTCTTCTACCAAAGAAAAATCTCTTACCAACCAAACAATCTCAACAGCGACTCAGGTTTTTACCTTTCACCAATATCAGTCTTCCGAGACAATGTTCACGCCCTCCATTAACTCTGCCCCTCTCAAGCAATATATAAGCAGGTACAGAGTAGAATGCGAGCCAGTTTCAGTTGAGCTCTGAAGAAGCCAACAAGATGATTGGCGCAACGTCAGCAAGTTTTA